AACCACCAACCAACTTGCTACAAAACAACAAGCTTCAAGAATCAAATTAGTTTGGCACATAAGAGACCCATTTCCAAACCAAAAACCGAGCGCCAAGAATTTAAAGTGTGTGAGGATCAATTGTGTACAAGTACTCAGTTGAGATTATGCAAGACACGACTCAAGAATGAGATCCCATAGGCTTGCCCTTCATACTCCCCTAGATCAAATCTAAGAATGCATGCTAAGATCAAATAGGACTTTATTAAGCTTGTAATGGGGCTACGGGTGACGGCTGACAAAGAAGTGGTATGGAAAAATTAATCAAAAAGAGAGAATGTCACAATTTATCTAAACTTTTCAAAATTTGGAAGAGATGAGATAATCATAATTCCAAGGAGCAAATTTCTTTTAAGAACTTAGCAACTCTTTGGTAAAGTGGGGATCCAAACTCAAAAACTTTCAATCTCTTTTTTTTTTTTTTTTTCTCATTCTTTTCTTTGTCTTTGGACTTCTTTTGGATATAGAAAGATAATTTTAATCCAAACTTTCATGACCTCCACACTTGAACATTTGTAACACTAGCTGCTTTTTTTCGTAGCACAACTCCATAAAACTCTTCTTACGGAAAAGATGAAGATAAAAGTTTCATTCTCTCAAGGGTGGAAGGGAAATATTTGGCCACGGGCTAAGGGTTATAATAATGGGGTAAATCAAAGAAAAACAATCACAAAGAGGGGATAAGTGCTTAGCACTTATTTAAACAAACAAAAGGCACAATGGGGATACGAAGGATAAAAATATATATAGGGACAGGTTTAAAGGCTATGGCTAAACAAAAATGGCCTAAATCACTTCAAAACATGCAAAACTTACACATCACTTAGGGAGTAATGAGGCAAGTTCTAGCAAAACACCCATGACCGGAATCTCACATAAGCCTTCACTATCAATGCAAAACACAAGATCAAGAATTAATCCAATTATTAAGTGGTTAACAAAGCTCTTGGCAAGGGAATAGATCAAATATGTGTTACACCTCAAATCATCCATCACAAATTGAGATGCAGCAAGCACCACTAAAACAAACCACAAACCAACAAGAGAGAGTAATTGTAACTGCATGCTAAGACAAGTAACTTATTCACCAAAAATAACATATGAGTCATCCAAGCAAAAGCAAAAATTTTAAAAATTTTAGAAATATCCCCAAATTAATGATTCCTCCCCCTCACACTTAAAACTTTGCATCATCCCTGATGCAAAATAAAAGAAAAGGAGAACAAGAGAAAAGAGAAAACTAAAAAGCAATAAAATAATCACGAACTAGAAAATAATAAAACTAAATAAGACGAAACTAGAAAGCAATAAATAAATAGGGAAAGTAATAAAAGATAACATGGGGTGCCTCCCATGAAGCGCTAAATTTAACGTCGTTAGCTCGACGTTACCTCTCTAGCCATCAAGTGATTGGAGAAGAAAAATCCCCTTCTTTCCATCAACTTTCTCTTCCAAGTATTTCTTCAAGTGGTGTCCATTTATAAACTCTCTCAAGCTCGAACCCTTCACGTCATCATGTAAGGAACCACATTTGCCCGAATCAAGAATTATGCCTCCATTCTCTTTTCCTTCTTTTTCAACACTCTTTTGTTCAACAAGTAATGAGAGTCTCGGATCATTCACATGAACCAGCAAGTATTGGGAATCATTGGATATATAGATAGGCAAATGTGTGCCATTATCCTTAAGAACTCCAATGCTTCCCAAATTCAAAATTTCTCTGAAGTTCTCTCCAAGGGAAGTGTTCTCCATTGGTGAGACATCCTCATTCAAATCATGTGCTCCATTAAGAACTTCCTCATCTAATGGGCAACTCTCTATATGTTCCTTGCCATCATTACCTTGCAACTCTACATTTTCCTCCCAGCTTGGTGTCTCCATCTCAATGCATTTATCAAATATTTCTTCATCTCCCTCTCTAAGATCCTCATCATCCTTTTTATTTCTCTCAACTTCATGACCTTCATTTGGCAAGAGCAACTCTTCTAGAACCTCTCCATTAAATAAATCTTGAAGTGGCTCTTGAATTGTCAAATCTTGCTGTCGAGCCATCATGTGATCGAGTCGAGCATTCATGTGATCAAGTTGAGCTTTCATGTGATCTTGTAACTCCAGATATTTCGAGCACAATTGCATTATCTTGGTCTCTTTGGACTTCATCTCAATTATTTGGTCAAGTGATTGACAATCTTGTTGAAACTCTTGGTACGGCAACTCTTGAGCTTGCCCTTGATACTTGTAATTGGGATCCATGATAAAGCAATTTTCCGCCTCATGAGGTCCACCACATATCATGCACCATGAGGGTTGTGGAGTAGGTGGTGTGCATCTTTGATAAGTAGCTTGACTCATGTTGGCACAAAATCCTTGAGTAGATTGTTGAGGGATATGGTTGGTGGGGTTGAGCATGTAACAATTTTCCACAAAGTGATTCCCACCACAAAATGAGCACCATTGGGGTTGTGATGTTTGATATGAACTTTCTTGATAATATCCTTGACTAGAGTTGGCAAAATTTGAGAAAGGGAACTGTTGTTCCATTCCTCCATATTCTCGATTCATATTCCAACTCATCTCATAACCTTGAGAAGGAGGGTAAAACGGTGGCATGGTTCCTTGGAATGCATATCTATCCATAAACTAAATCACACTCAAAACAATGAACTTGTTATAGGTTAGCAAAATAGAATAAAATAAAATAAAAAAAATTAAAATGGACTAGTCTCCTAGAATAAAGATTTCACTAATGTTAATACTAGAAACGCCACTTCCCCGGCAACGGCGCCAATTTGATGCGTAGTATATTTGCAAACAAATAATTCTCGGAGTACGAGTTATCGATCCACAGGGAAGTGGTTGTATCAAGCACTAGTTACTAACTTATTTATTAGAGCTAATCCTAACAATTACTTAGATGATTGATTGGCATAAAATAAATAAAATAAAACAGAGGTTCAGGATTTTGAAAACAATTAGAGAGAAGTTGAGATTCATGGGATTCAAGTATTTAATCACCTAGTGCCAATTATCGTTTGCAATATTTAGTTTGGAATTAAGATTTGTGTGGGAATGCAAAGTGGAATCGAATTACTCCCGTAATCTCTATTCCTAGTGAATTTCCACTCCCATGGCTTAAACACCCAATAAGATCAAAGATCAGCATTCAATTATTCCTAATTACTACCATCTCCGCAATAATCTAGAATAAACTTCCCCTAATAAGTTCCCCTTTCCCAAGGACCAACCATTAGGTGCAATCATGTGTGCCCTAATTTATGCCCCAACTCCCACTGGTGACACAAACATGGCTATGAAGCTAGTAACTATGGCCATTAATTACAAGCATCAAACAATATTGTCACGATTGCAACACAAGTATTAAACCCAAATAATAATATTTTAAAGAAACTGAGAGCTCAGGCACATAGGTTCATAAACACTTTTACCCAAGAATCTCTAAAGAATTTAGCCAAGCATGACTAAATTATACATAGCAAATATAAATAAAGAATTACAAATCATCAAAAGAGAACAAGAATTAACCAGACGATTTTCCCAAACCTCCCTAGTCTTCTTCTTGCTTTCCAAGACAACTTGTGGCTCTTGATTTCTCTCTTTCTTGTCTCCAAGAATCTCTGAATTCTCTTCGTCTCCGTCCTCCCATTAGGGTTGAGGAAGGAGGGATTTTATAGTGGGTACAAAGTTGAGATGAAATAGGAATCTTGTACCAAATTGGACTCAAATTCTAATTCCTATATTTAAATAAAGAAATTGTCGTCTTTAATGATATTTAGAATTTGGAAGATTCCTTGAATTGCTAACTTTTAATATGGAGATATGAGCCTTGAAATCCGCGCAATTGATATTAGGAAAAGAGATCTCGCGCTTGTATTGAATTTTGCCCAGCTGCGCCACTTTAAGCGTCTATTTTTTTATCCGCGCCACTTTAGGCGTCTGTTTTTATCCCAGAAACAGACGCATATTCGACGCGTCGAGAATTTTCTCGACGCGTCGAGACTTCCTGTGCGTGAATTAATTAGCTACTGGAAAATTTCGACGTGTCGAGTCCACTGGGCCCCGAACTCATCCAAAATTGCTCCAAACTCATCCTTGAACTCCCATTGGTCATATCTTCGACCTAAAATGGTTCAAAAACACTAACAAACACCGTAAAATATTCAAAACAAGTGCGAACCATAATTAAATGATAATAGCAAGGAAAACATGTATTAAATAAGCAAAATTAAAGAGCTTAATTACTGTGATGATTCAAAATAACCATAAAAACAAGCACAGATGTGATAACATCAACTTTTGGCTAAGTTTTGCTTTTAGAGACACCACATGTCCCCTCGACGTAGCGGTACAACTAGTGGACAGACGTGTCCATGCATCACTTGCAGAAGCAGCCGACGAGATAACCGGTTGCAGGACATCGGAAAGACTGCCGAGAATGGCACTTAGAATGATTTGATCCTTCCTGAACCAAGCTGTGTAGGCGGGATTAATTTCAGTGCGAGCTGTATCAGAGTACTTTGTCGGAGCTGTAGTAGAGGCTATGATGTAGCCCAGGAGGTCGAGACCTATAAGAGTAGACTCGACCTGTTTCTTCCAAATGGGAAAGTTCGAGGATGTAAGTTTAATTGGTAACTGGGTTGGGGCGTGAAGGTGAGTTATGATAGGGGTGTTGGTAGCAGCCATGACTAGCGATAGGGAGGAGGAGAGGGGAGAGGGAAAAAATGTATTTTTCTCGCTAAAGTGTAGGCTTTGATACCATAATAGAATATGAAAGCTGTAGTTTATTCCCAGTATGTACAAAGCTTTATATAGAGTTACAGAGCCATAAATTGAGGTGTGGTTATACCTAACCACAAGACTAGGCAAATGAGAAATATCAACCAGAAAAATATAATAACCAGAGATATATAATAAGAGGCTAATACTAAGTCTTCACAGTAGTTACTCTTGCTCCATTTCCCATCCTTAGAACAATCTTATCTTTAGTCGCCTCTCTACTTCTTCTCAGATCCTGCAACGATACTGATAAACATTATTTTTAGTGTTATTTTTAATAATCTATTTATATGTAATATACAATAATTGATTAATTTTATATCTATTTTATTTATTATTGTCATAGGTAGATTTATTATAAATTTATTTATTATTTGAATTCTGTCAGTCTAGTTCCTTGATCCTAATTTAATAATAATATTATTAATATTATTCATTTTAGTAGTACATCAGCAGGAGTTTAATAAATGTAATTTAGTTATATATGGTCTCTAATAACTTTTTTATTATTATTATTATTATTATTATTATTATTATTATTATTACTATTATTATTACTATTACTATTATTATTTTAGTTTAGTTAATAAAATAGGTCAGACAAGACCGTGTCAACAAAGCTGATAAATGAGAGGCGTAGGTTTCCCCGAAGCCAATCAACGATGCTGAATTGCTGAGCGAGAGAGAGCAGGGCCGGATTTTAGGCTGTGCAAGCTGGGCTACCGCACAGGGCCCCCAGTTTTAGAGGGGCCCCAAATTTTAGAGGTCCAATATTTAATATTTACTGAGCTAGTTTAGATATAAAAATTAAAAGTTTTCAATTAAACTTAAAAGGTTCTATGAAGAGATGATAGCAATGTGTATTTATTGTATTTTTACTGGGAGGTTAAAGGTTCGAAACTTGCATATTAAAAATTATGATTTTGGAGGGCCTCAGTTATTTACCAGAACAGGGCCCCAAAAACCTAAAATCCGGCCCTGAGAGAGAGGCGGACAAAACACAGCAGCGAACCAAAGCATCGGTCGAGCTCCAAGCGATCCGATTCCTTTGGGCGATCCTATCGAAGAGCGGAGGTAACGGTTGAGGCTGGGTGTATATAATGGAGGCCAAGGTTCTTCTTCGTCATCAATTGACCTCCCAGAGATTTCCGGTGGTTCATAGCAGTTTCTGGTCTGGTGTAGCAGCTTTGGATTTGGCGGGTTGCGAATATGATGAAGAAGATTACATTTGCAGCAACAACCTTCACACGGCAATTCTTTATTGTCTTTACTCTCTATAATTATTAATTTGTTTGTATGATTAATTGATTATTGTTGAGAGATAAGCTTTGTTCTTTCCGTTTAAATATTGTTTTTCTTGTCAGTGCATTCATTTAATATTTTTGCCATTTGATTACCAAAGTTCAATTCTTGATTTGTTGAATCAACAAACATATTCATTCTTCGACAACAACAATTGTTATACGGTAATTCTTTATTTTCCTCAATATGCTTTTTGTTAATTAATGGTGTTGAACTATTTCCATGCTATATTATATTCAATTATTTTTCCTGCCTTCCTAGTTCATTTAGTTAATCCATTTTAATTGTCAATTCTATTTCCTTGGCTCTTGATTATTATATTTTTCTAAGTTGTTTCTATTTGGTTTAATTTACTGCAATTGTAAATTCTCTCTTTTCACTCTTTTAGTTCATTAATTAAATTGCATTGTTACAATTTTCGGTGGGTTCGACCCTTTGCTAAAAGCACGCTAAAACTACAATTGATTCGTGCACTTGCGAGAACTATTAAAATTGTCTATCAGATACACAAACCTGTGAAGTTGCTACTGAATCTATTATCCCAGAAGTATTTATTTAGACCAATTTAAAAAACTAGCTAGTCTCATTAATGAGCATACCTTCTGAAGTTTTGTCATTGTCCTTGACCTTCAAAGACTTTAGGCACTCTGTGCAATTTCTTTTCCAAGGCCCTTCTTTGTTGCAATGAAAACACTTTCCTTTACTTGCAACCTTCCCTTTTGTTTTGGTCACTCCCCCAGTTGGTTTCTCTTTAGAAACCTTCTTGTTCTTTTTCTTCTTCTTTGACTTGGAAGAGGCCAAAAGAACTGTATCAGCGTGCATACCCTTCATTGTAGCATGAGCAGTGCACAACATATTGTGCAGATCAGATTTGGAACAATGAAGCTTGTTCATGTGGAAATTCATTATGAAAGGCCCAAATGAATGTAGAAGAGGCTGTAGAATTAAGTATACTTCAAGCTCGGTGTCAAGGAAGATATCCAATTCTTCCAATCTCCCCAATAAGACAATCATATTTAGGATATGATCTCCTACATTCTCTCCATCTTGTAGTTTTGCCCGAAATAAGGCCTTGGTAACCTCATAACATGCAATCCTATTGTGCTTACCATACAACTCGTGTAGGTTATTGACCATAGATTTTGTGTCAGACATCTTTTAATGCTGACGTTGCAACTCATTGGTCATAGATGCGAGGATATAACTCTTAGCGTTCATATTACCGTCATTCCACTTATCAAACGCTGCAATTTCAGCATTATGAACAGCAAGCTAATCAACATCAGCATCATCTGGTAAGATACCAATTGGAGGATCTTGGATCAAAACACAATCCATCTTTTCAAGATTGAGAACGATTCTCAAATTTCAGAGCCAATCTGTGAAATTTGCATTGGTCTATTAAATTTGTCTTCTTCGAGTATTTTTGACAAAGGATTTAAAGCTAGTTCAAAACTAAATACAGAAAATAACTTTAATTATTATACATGTTTCTTTATTAAACTATTCGATTTTCAAAAAACAATGAAATAGTACCTCCCACTAAATTTTTTGAATCATGCACTTCCCAAGCAAGAAACGGAAATCCCATTGGAAGATTTCTAATGGGTAATTGAGGTATTAAAAATTAATCTCATTCCTCACCTTAAGGAGCATCTTGGAATTTGAAAAATTTTTAAGTGGCCAACTCTTACCAATACATTTCATGCATGATTTGATTTTATTAAACTTAGGCTCCATGGCCCATTGAACCTCACCTTAAGGGGCATCTTAGTCCAATGGACTCAGTTAAGTCAAACCCGCCATCCTGGTAAAAAGTAGACTTGAACTTCAACTTTTCTCACCTTTAGGAATTTCTTGAAAAGTAAAGTTTCTAAGTGCTACCACGCACATCACATGTTTCAGAATAAGAAAATCAAAATATTTTAAACTAACACATTGCCCCTATGTTGGCATAGCCGACACCGTGTTACGGTGTTAGGAAAAATATTGGATTTCTTACGATGGTGGAAAGCCACGATTAGATAGTCTCAACTCTTGATGCCTAACCATTTACAACTTAATATTTAATATATGGAAGATTTTTATAAATTATTAAGTTTCACTTTACTCATGCAACATTTTCACATATATCACAAATATAAAGTGCATTGAAAAGTAAACTCAATATCAGTCATGGACTTCTAAATGGTCAAAATTGAGCCAACTAATTTTGACCGCGCACAGTAAATAGTGAAAAATTAAAATCTTATCTATTACACGTAGGCTTCCATCATACATAGCTTTCGGGTCTTTAACTCTTGAAGTCTTCGGATTTTCAACTCTTGAAGTTTTCGTGGTTTATGTACAAACATATCCTATCTACCATAAAAGGAGTACATATGTCGGGGAAGGATTTACATTACAATCTACAACTTTAATAAAAGCGAATATTGTTAGACCCTTAACGGGAACTAAAAAATGTCGGTACAACAATATGCTCTACAAGATCATACTTTATGTTCATGAAATTGTACATCACCAAATTAAAACCCTAATATACCCTCATTCTTCTTACTAATAGCAAACTTACAATGTTAAACTTAACAGCTTCTGTCAATTGAAGTTGGCGGTGGCAAATTTGTAGTTTTAATGAAATTGAATGGCAGTAAGGAGAAGCACAACAAGCACAGCAAAATCGACAAAAAGAGGGGATCGTCTGCCGCCGCCGGAGTTAAGAGGAGGAAGGAGATCGTGAGAAGCACAACAAGCACAATAAAATTGAACAAAGCCAAAGCGATCTCAGATATGGGCTCCATCTCCCGCATCAGCCGCGTCACCTCCTCCGTCACTTTCTCTTTGATCTTTCCCGTTTCGAGCTCCTCAATGCACGATTCGTAGTTGCTCTTCAAGGATTTCAGCCATTCCATATAAGCTCCCTGTTGCCTCAGTACCCTTCCTCTTGCTCCGTTCCTCGCTCCTGCAAACGCTCATCCTGTTCTACTCAATTCTGCCCGAGTTCTTAATTCAATAAGCTCTCAGATTCAAGCTAATGTTTTTCAATTCCATTCATTCTTTTTATTTTATTATTTCTCATTAGGTCATCAATTGTACATTGATTTTTTGTTGCTTTGTGTATCAAGACTGGATTTTCAGATGTGATTTGTGCTCCCTTTTGATTTTGCTTGTTTTTAAATTCCCTTTTTTACAGCTTAATTTTGACTAACTGAAAATTCCAGTAAAAGATTGGAAATGTCAACTGTAATTTTGCAGTTGGAGGAGATGATTGTGGCATCTTCTTCTTCTTTTTTATTTTATTTTTATTTTTTATTTTTAAGGCTAGGGTAGTTGTTGAATGGTGATGATGTTAAGCAAGTCTGGTGTTTTGGGTCTCCTTGGGTTTGGCTATAGTAGAACTTGATTTTGTACCTCATATTTTTTTTTGAGAATTTTGAATGACATAATGTTATTGAGGACAATATGCTAAGAGTTGTCTGTCCCAAGACTCCAAGAGGTACAGAGCTGAAGTTGCCTACTTTAGTTTGTGGAAATGAAGAGACTCCTACTGGATTGTAATGCCCAAAGCTCTTACAATAAGATCATGCATATAATGCTGTAATTACTGATATTGCCATTTTTGTATTTTCTGAAAAAATTAACTCATTTTGATGTCTTTAATCCTACCTTGCTTTCCAGCCTTTTCAAATTATGAGTTTCACCGGCTAACAATTACATCTACCGTTCAACTGGATAGGAGTGCCTAAGGTTGGATAACTGGATAAGAACTCACTTAGATAAGAGTGGATAAGGCTGAATTGTATAAGAGTGGACAAAGCCAGATATCTTATGCTTGGTTGACATGGATGTAATTTGGAATTTCGGATGAAAAAGGGAGAAGAGATCCTTTATCAGCAAATTGAATTATATGTTTTGGCTGAGTAGTATATTATGTAGTGAATGTGTAGCATCATGGATTATCATGGTTTGACATATCCTATTTGTTATGCCTTGTGGTCATATAGTTGATGCTGAGCCAACTATGGAGGAGACTATTTTGGTGGGTGATGACCTAATGATGGGCCCTCCATCGCTAATCATTCAACTACAGATAGCCTCTCATGTTCTTGCAGGTGTTGATATGTGTGATGGAATCTTAAGGAATCTTTTCTTATGTAAGCAATGTTAATCTGAAGCTTAATTCAACAGTTTATTTCACATCTAATTTGGCTCATTAACGCGTCTGTGTTATAGGCTTACAAATCAATGAAATCGAACCATTCTGTCAAGACTAGATTATCTTGTATCAACAATGTGCAGAGAAAAAGGTGAGGAAGATAATGCGTGTATTTATTTTAGTTTGTCCATTTGTTTGATTGATATTAAATTCTTACATTTTTTAATGATGATCTTTTTCAAAGAACTTCCTCATTTCATTCTCAAGGTTGGTCCAATTCTAAGCAGCCTTTATGGTGCAGATTGGGAGAAAAGACTTGAGGTAACTATTTTGTGGATGCTTATGTTCATTTTGCCAACCCTTAGTGTTATTCCATCTTACTAGAAGATTGAAAAGCCATTCTGATCATTATATTTTCAATTAGGAGTTGTATTTTGAAGCACATTTTCATTGCTTTACCACCCACAACCACTCATGTTTTACAGTAAACTAACATATGACTAACTACATAAACATCTTGCAGGGTCAACAGCTACGATTTCAACATATATCAATAACCGCTTACAAGATGAAGAATATATAATACAATTGAGGTTTCAATCCTACACACAACAAGGCAAAAACATGGTATCATATACCATAACATCATTGCACGATTCATTCTCATTCACTACCACAAGTAAACAACATGCAATAAACACAAAACCAACAAAAAGGAAACTCAACTTCACTAAAGATGTAGAAGAAGAAGACAATTTCAAGCCTCAACAAACACGCACTAAGAAAATTTAATTTACTCTGCTAAAATTACTACTCTTTTCATTATAGATAGTCAGCTTTAGTTAGTGGTTTATTTGTTTTTACTTACTTTAATTCTAATTTAGCTATTTCAAATTTCTTTATCTTTTAATAAAATATATAAGCACCAAGACTATTTCTTTATCTTTTATTAATTTCATATTTTTCTCTCTCTTATTATTATTATTATTATTATTATTATTATTATTATAATATATATATATATATATATATATATATATATATATATATATTATGAATACTTTAACCAATTAAGGAACACTAATTTATAAATACATATTGGGCATTGGTCTAATCGCGCAAAGCGCGTGTCATAACTAGTAATATATAAGAGGCACAAAGACTCCAATTTTAATTAATCACAAAAAACGGTGCAAAACCCAAAATAAATCACATTCATTCAATGGGTCCTAAGTCCATGACCAAACCGACATGCTAGCCAATCCATAGATAGCATAAAATAAATTATGCATTAATTTGTGGCTTTATATGATATATAATCCAATTATACCTGTTGGTTTTAGGATTTTTGTGCACAGAGAGGTCCAACACAATAGTTATGCTGTGCAACCGAATGCACCATGCGCATGGTGCATACGATGCAAAACGACGTCGTTTTGATTAAAAACGTGCGTCCCACTTAAAAAAATAAATCAGGTTCGATTCTCGGCAATAGCATTATTGTGGATATATAGTTATGAATTTGTGGATATATAGTTATGAATTTGTGGATATATAGTTATGAATTTATGGATATTTAGTTCATTCATTGTGGATATTTAGTTCATTCATTGTAGATATTTACTTTATTCATTCACTGTGGATATAGTCACTGTGGATATAGTTATGATATGAATTTCTGGATATTTAGTTCATTCATTGTGGATATTTAGTTCATTCATTGTAGATATTTACTTCATTCATTCACTGTGGATATTTAGTTCATTCATTGTGGATTTTTACTTCATTCATTCATT